TTTCTGGGCTCCTTCTCGGCATTGACTCGATTGTGAGTGGAAATGGTTCCACACGGTGTTCTTTGTGCACCAGGAGAAGGGGACGGGGACGGCCCAGGGATGGGTGAACGAGGGGTCATGGGGAGCTTGGCTGCATGCTTGAGAAGGCGAGGGAGAGATGGCGGGAAGAGAGAGAGGCAGGAGGTTGTTACTGAAGACGTTGAGAGTTTGCTGGTACAAAGGAATGGAAGTTGTCGACCATGGTGATGCAGGAATTGCTGGTACGAGTATGACCCTGGCATTTTCCTAACCTTTATGTGTCTTCTTTCCATGTTTCCCCCAATGCTGCCATGACATTATTCCAGAGTTCTCCAGTACAATCAATTCACAGGGCAAATTCCAGAGTCACTGGGCAGTCTGCGCAACCTCCAAGAATTGTGAGTGAGGATGACCACATTAGACTATGGGGCAGAATGAGGGAAACCGTGGTGGTAGTACAGAGGGACAAGGGCTGGGGAAAGTATGGGTACAGCTAGCAACGTTCGTTGTGTTTCTCATGTGTCATGTATACTCCACATGACCAAGCCTCCTGCAACCTCAATCCTTCATAACCCATCATTGAGCACGTAACCCATCGGTTTCATCTGTAAGAGAAGGCGTCCATTTCAATATATTTGCAGTGAGGCAAAAAACGCTGAGATCCGTGAGAACAAGCTTCCAATTGTATTACATTGTTCGCAGTTCTGTTATGTTCAACCGCTTGACAGGAGTTATACCATCATCATTTGGAAACTGGCCGTCTATGACCCTCTTGTGAGTATGGGTCGTAGCATTCACGAAGCAATCTACTGTCTTTGCTTCCTATTGTCCTGCCACATCTTTTCAATCAACATCGTTTAATTTTGCAACATCCCAACAAACCTTCGTTATGTCTATCGCTATGTATTCAGCATTTAATCCAAAGCGGCCACTTTTGTGCCGCTGCTAAGCTAGACTGGCCTGTTGGTGCCTCGTTTCCCCCAATAATCATTTTTGCAGAAATTTGGGTGTGAACAACATCACAGGGTCAATTCCTGACACCTTCAGCAACCTCAAGGCCATGAAGTACCTGTGAGTTCTATTCTTGGGTGACAGAAGCTGGCAGATACAGAGCAAGAGTGAACGAGAGGATGCTAGATAAGTGAGTGCAGTGCAGAAGTTGGTTATGGGGTAGGTAAAGTGACAAATTACACCTTGCTTGGCTACCGCTGATTGTTTCTTTTCAGTGCATTTCACCACTCTCATCGCCACCTAGCTGCCATCAAACTGTTGTACAGGATCCGTCACTTCGAGAAGCTACGACGAACTCATTTCTCAACTAAACGCAAATCCGCTCAGTAGGATGTTGCGCCTTAGGCTTAGCTACCATCTCCAATTTGAATCACTTAGAAAGATGGTCTAGAGAGTGAGAACCATATGAAAACGTCCAGCTGCTGCATGACTAGAATGATGGAGGAAGTACAAGCATGAAGCATAGAAAGTTGGAGTTGGGGACCTCCAAGAGAACCATGAGAGGGAAGGGGTTCTCCAAGAGCTAGGGAAGGATGGTAGGAACCTTCCTAGCAGCAAGGATGCAACCCTCATCATGAGGTCCTTGAGGTGTCACATGCAAAATCCAATCTAGTTGGATTTTGCCTAGGTGTTGCAACATTTGCAACCCATGCTAGAAACTTCTAGCCACCCCAATCCAAAAGTCAAAGTTGCCTTCCTAACCACCCAACCAAAGATCCCTTTATAGTCATGTCCCAATAATCACCCAAATTAGATATAACCCCAAAGAGGTAATAAGAAATCCAAGTCTTGGAAATCTTGTAACTTGGGCGATCTTGGTCGGAATAAGGCGATCTTGGTATCGTTGGAAAGCTCTGGATTTCTCCTGCATGATCAAGCATTTAGACTTGGAGAAAACACAGAGATGATAATATCCAACAGCCATGCACAATGACATATGCTCATGCAAATTATGCAAGCACAAATAGCACGAGCACTCGGCAGGACGTTAGGATGACATGCACTCAGAATGACGTGCATTCAACACAAACCAGCTGTCTTGACTGTCTGTACACCTGATTGTGACGTCTACAGGTTTGCTTTCAACTACAAGCTGACGGGCAAACTCCCTTCCTTTCTGGGAAAACTCACGGATCTCGTCAGTCTGTGAGTTCCAACCAGCCCACTGATACACGATACAGGGAATAGGGAGTTGTTTCGCTGGTCTGTGTATGCGCATGCCTTGTGATTGACATGACATGAGCCGAGCCAAGAGAATCTTAGCTCCAGCACTTGCCTGCTATGTGGAGCGAAGCCGAGTTGACTGGATGAACCTTGGGCCAACTCGACTCATTCCGTCTTCTTTCACCACACATATATTGCCTGGCACATCACGTAAGGGTATAACATATACACATACTTTGAGAAGGTGTGTGCTGAATGGTATTAACATTTTTTAATGAACACCAAAAAGCAAAAAGCAATGGATAAATATTTTGGGCCACATGTGACTTAGTCTAGCAAAGAAGCACCTTTCTGACTACAAATGAGGGCATGGTGATGAGGTCATGGTGATGAGGTCATGGTGATGAGGTCATGGTGAGGAGGGCATGGTGATGAGGTCATGGTGATGAGGGCATGGTGATAAGGGCATGGTGATGAGGTCTTAGTGACAAGGGCATGGTTGCGCGAGCATCAAATGCAAGGCTCTAGCTCCTACTACACAGGTTGCATACAAATTACTCCATGCAATTTACTCCTTCAACCTACCAAATCATTTTGAACCTCAACCGTGCAGTGCAAAGGTTTTAGTACAGAAAGGATAAACGTGTGCATAAAAGGCTCTGGGCTGCCCGGGCTGATATGGAGTGAAGCACCACCAAGTGCACCTTAAAGCGCAATGCCACTATCGCAGCCATTGCTTCCGTGTCTTTGTGGTTATGAGAATGCCACTAGTAACAAGTGATGTGCTGGTACTACTACAGCAGCTTACTGTTCAGAAACATAGTTTGAAACAAGGTAGGTTGCATCTCGTGCTGTTTGTGAATCTACCAATGCCCTTCTCTAAAACGCCGTCGTTTCCACACAAGTTATTCTGTCGTCTCCTAGGGGTACAGGCTGATTATTAACAATATGCGCACACCCCTTACATTGACACCACCTCTTCTGTCCGTGCCTCTGGCTCATTCACGTCTATCTTGACCTTCCCTTTGTCTTTCCACTCCCTTCGTGTTCTCGTGGCCATGGCTCAGGATGCTATACAGAAACCAACTCTCAGGGCAGATTCCGGAGTCCCTAGGCAACCTGGCCAGCCTTGAAGCACTGTGAGTGCAAAATCCAAGTGATAATGGCAAACGGAGTTGCATGGGATATGTTCAAGGAAGGATGGCTTAAGGTGGGGAAGAAGGCACAAATAAGAAATTGCAAATGCTTGTTACTGGAAGCGTGTATTATGGAGGGCAATGACTGGTCTACACTTTAACGCCTCTTGCTTCACACTCCAACAGGCTATTCTGTCCCTTCTCATCATTTACACTCCGACTGATATATTATCCACTCCCAGTTTCTCTCCTCAGATGCCGTCTAGATTGGAACCCTTTTGGTTCCTCCATTCCCCTCGTGATCTTCTCTCCAGGTTATTATCTTCCAACAACTTTGCAGGGACTATCCCTGCCACTTTGAGCACCCTCCAATCATTGAAGTCATTGTAAGCTCCAACAGAAGTTGGCAGAGGTCAATTCAGAGTTTACCTGTGAGAGCTCATCCATAGAGGTCATGGAGTAACAACATGAAGGTAGAGTGGTGAAGGATGCTGTGTATTGAAAAGGTCTAACGCCATGAGAAGGGAATATTGAAAAGGTCTAACACGGCTCCTTTGGGACTCACACTTACAAGCTGACACAAGTAGTTATCGCACCAACTAGTTGCTACTTTTCTTTGCTTACAGCTTACCCTGAGCGTCTGGGAGAATGTTTCCCGGGTTCAAGTTGCTGTGACAGCACATGCGTGTGAGAAGAGACTACGATGGAGGGGAAATTGTGTGCAAGAGATGGGGAAAGGGCGAGAGAGCAGAGTAAACGGGCAAGAGATTAATAGTAGGCACAGTGTTTGAGATGGGAGGAACGAAAGGTGCTGACACTTGAAAGCTGACACAAACACGCGGTGCTTTATGAACTGACACAAGCTGACCTACATGGCTGGGCCATGGCTGGCCGTGCCTGAAAGTAATCATACACGGGTTGTTTCTGATTCAGCCTGACAAGGAGAACCCCCCCACACTGATTTCAAGAGTGACCCATTTTTACAATCATTGTGTGCATGCGTTGCATCTGCTCTATGCTGTTGCTTCATCTAGCAGTCCATTCTTTGCCGCCCACAAACTATGCAGCTTCCAGAAGGATATCTGACTCACATTTTCCCACCTCCACGAATCCTCCCCTTTTCCTCCCACACCCACCTCCGTCCCAACAACTTCTTGTTGTGTCTCCTGCAGGTCTCTGGGGTACAACCAGCTAGTGGGGATGCTGCCGTCTATGGAGCTCATGACCTCACTCATCTACATGGGCGCAGGCTACAACTTCCTCACCAGCGTAGCGGTTCCCACAACAGCCTGCCCCACGTACCAGCTTGATCTCTAGTTCAACTGCTTTCCCACCAACCTGACCATTTGCGGGGGCCAGCAGTACCAGAAGAATGCCACCTCGTGCACGTCGTTCTGTGGGAACGGGCCCTCCAGTCCGCCCTGCAGTGGCCATGGCGTGTGCTCCTACTTGCCCCCGAGCACAGATGCCACGTGCGCTTGTGACTATGGTTATACGGATGGAACCGCCAATTTCACATGTGCCCCACAACAAGGTATGCAATGATCGATTGCGATCTTCGGTGAGTGTCTGGGTGAAAACGCTCCTCAAAAGGAACATCTCGCATTCATAAGTCCTTACGTGGCCATCCATGCTAATATGAGGCATGTACTTCTCGCACAAGCTTCCCTCATGCAATGCCACATTACACACCATCTCCATTTCCCACCTCTCATCTCCTATCCGATCCCTCAACTTTCATCGCCATTTCACCGTTTCATTACAACCCTATGTGCCCCATGCATTGTCTTTTCAGGACCGTACCTCCCTCCATACCTCACCTCCTACTCGGACCCGGTGAATCTGTTCCAGTCGGCTTCCTCTAACCCCAATGGGTCCATCTCCCTCTCCTCTGCATCGACCAATGCATCATGGGGAGCAGCCTTCATACAGAGGCCCATCACACTATTCTTCTCTACCACCAAGAAGTCACCCTGAGGCTTGTCCGTAGCCTTTTCGGTCTTGTTTGCATTCCGAATGACCCCTGCTTCTGTTGCTGGTTCATCCACAGCAGGCGAGGGCCTGGCGTTTGTGGTGACGTCTGCTGCACCGCAGGGGCTGCTGCAGTGGGGGTGGGGCTGGGAGGGTTGGGGAAGCGGAGTGTGGCGGTGGAGTTTGACTCGGTGCTGAGTGTGAAGCACAGCGACCCCAACGACAACCACGTGGGCGTCAATGTGGGCGGCTCACCTGTGTCCCTCGCCTCTGCCACGGCCCCTCTCATCCTCAACGACGCCCACACCAAGCACGCCTGGATCCACTACGACCCCACCAGTGCCGGCACCCTCCGAGTCTTCCTCTCAGCCTCCAGGCAGCAGCCGTCCAAGGCTGTGGTGACGGCGAGAGTGTCTCTGTGCACCGAACTCAAACCCACCATTGGGGATTCCTCCTTCCTCTTCGGCTTTTTGGCAGCCTCTGCTAACAACACGCAGAGGCACGACATTATTTGGTGGAACATCGCCACGGGTGAGCAGACTGACGGTTTTGCTTATAGGGAATCATGTTGTGTCCACATACAACTAACTTCACATACAATGCTTCTTTCATGATGCTACCTTTCTTGCTACCGGATCACTTGTAAAAGCTTATCACCTACATGTCACGTGTGTGTGCGTGCGCACGCGTGCGTATGTGCGTGCATGATTTTGTGTGTGTGGGTGTGGGTGTGGGTGTGTGTGTGCGTGCGTGTGTGTGTGTGTGTGTGTGTGTATGTGTGTGTGTGTGTGTGTGCGTGCACGTTCCTTTGTCTGTGTGAGGTGGGGGGGGGGGGGGAGGGGGTTCACGGGGGGATGTGTGTGCATGTGTGCGTGTGTGCGTGTGCTGGTGCATGCATATGTCAACCGATCTGTATTGCAGAGATGCCAAATGTAATTGTGGAACGGCCGCATCAGACTCCTGGTAAGAGTGTCGTCATTGCTTTTCGTTTCCCACAGTCCACGCCTTTCGTTTCCCACAGTCCACGCCTTTCGTTTCCCACAATCCATGCCTTTTGTTTCCCACAATCCACGCCTTTCGTTTCCCACAATCCATGCCTTTCGTTTCCCACAATCCATGCCTTTCATTTCCCGCGATCCTCAGTAGGATCTCAAGCAACTTCTTATAGCCTTAAAAGTAGTCGCCTATTTTTCCAAGTTACTCGTGGGTCATTCAAACATCAACATCTAGTTTGCTAACTCCCCCCTGGGCGAACCAACAGGTAGTAAACTCGGGCAGGTGGCATCAAAGGAAGAGGTCACAGCCTGCAGCGAGATTGTTCCCTCTTCGTTCCACTATGCCAGTCTAGCATTCATTCCCAATGCGGATGGGGTGCCTTCGTGGTCCCTCCCTTCCTTTGTCTCTTGGGTGCGGGATGAGTCAACGTGGCCCGTGAAGAACCAGCATGGATGCGGTATGGCTTAGACGGGGTATGGTATCGCATCAATGTTGTAGGGTATGGCATGTGGTGTTAGGAATGGATATGATATGAAAAGGATAACAGCATTTTGTGGACGTATGAAGGCACAAAATGGGCGTCGTGTTATGCATTGGCTATGTTCTCTGCTCAAGCTTGAGCAGCTTGCACAATGAAAATCATACTCTATCAGCCTCCCAAACTATTCGGTTATCCTCTCTCCCCTGCTCATCACAGCCCTCAATTGTTCCCCTTCCCCCTCTTGAACACTCTCCTCCCCCACGGGCCTGCAGCCGACTCCTCAGCGTACGCGGTGGTGGCGGCTGTGGAGGCAGCCTACAGCATCGCACGCAACTCCTATAATCCCCCCCAGCTGTCGGTGGACTAATTGCGGGTGGCCCTGTCGTCCAACTGCGACGACATGCCTCCGCGCGATGTGCTGGCCTTCCTGGTGGCTGCCACGCGCAAGGGAGGGGGGCTCGTGGATTACGCAGCAGCTGCAGCAGCAGCCGCCGCCAGTCCACACAGCATGGCGTCCGTGTTGTACAGGATCCGTCACTTCGAGAAGCTACGACGAACTCATTACTCAACTAAACGCAAATCCGCTCGGTAGGATGTTGCGCCTTAGGCTTAGCTACCATCTCCAATTTGAATCACTTAGAAAGATTGTCTAGAGAGTGAGAACCATATGAAAACGTCCAGCTGCTGCATGACTAGAATGATGGAGGAAGTACAAGCATGAAGCATAGAAAGTTGGAGTTGGGGACCTCCAAGAGAACCATGAGAGGGAAGGGGTTCTCCAAGAGCTAGGGAAGGATGGTAGGAACCTTCCTAGCAGCAAGGATGCAACCCTCATCATGAGGTCCTTGAGGTGTCACATGCAAAATCCAATCTAGTTGGATTTTGCCTAGGTGTTGCAACATTTGCAACCCATGCTAGAAACTTCTAGCCACCCCAATCCAAAAGTCAAAGTTGCCTTCCTAACCACCCAACCAAAGATCCCTTTATAGTCATGTCCCAATAATCACCCAAATTAGATATAACCCCAAAGAGGTAATAAGAAATCCAAGTCTTGGAAATCTTGTAACTTGGGCGATCTTGGTCGGAATAAGGCGATCTTGGTATTGTTGGAAAGCTCTGGATTTCTCCTGCATGATCAAGCATTTAGACTTGGAGAAAACACAGAGATGATAATATCCAACAGCCATGCACAATAACATATGCTCATGCAAATCATGCAAGCACAAATAGCACGAGCACTCGGCAGGACGTTAGGATGACATGCACTCAGAATGACGTGCATACAACAGTCCGCCGGCCGGCGGGAGAGACTGGCCGCGGTGAGTTGCGGGAGAGACTGGCCGCGGTGAGTCGCAGCAAGCGGTGATGATGAAGTTGCACACAAGTGGTGATGATTAATGATGATACATGTGATGATGAATGATGTTGCACGCGAGTGTTGAACAGGAAGGCACTCGCAACACACACAAAGACACTTGAGAGCCCTCACACCCCATCCTCTTTTGCTTTGGTGTTGCAGAAGGTGAAGTACTACGGAATTCAGGGTTTTGAGGAGACCTCGTTTGGTGGCTCGCTGGGCCTTCTGTTGGCAGTGCAGCGGCAGCCAGTGGTTGTGCGAATTGAGGCGTCTGCTCCCTCATTCATCGACTACAATGGGGTGAGATGCCATTTACCTTCACACCATGGCTATATACCAGGGAATGTTTCTGATTCATTTACATTTGAAAGGCCATGGTTGTTTCGAGTGACCAAAACTATTGCATACGTGCATCCCTATTCCATTACACCATCTTACCTCCCAGACACTGAAGTACTCTGATGCCAGTTGCTTCCAAAATGGAGTGAACCACGCGGTTCTGCTGGTGGGATACGCTGTGAGGCAGGACCTGTCTAGCCCTTTCAGCCTGGCTGCGCCACTCTGGGTGATCCGCAACTCATGGGGCAGCGAGTGGGGGGCTGCAGGGCACATGTTCATGGACATGCAGAGCGGGCCGGGCGTGTGTGGCATCAACACACTGCCAGGCATCTTCCCCATTCTCCGATGTACGTACAGATGACTGGGTTCGTGGATTGTCTCGTGTGCTCTTGTTCCTACCACATGTGTCCCTACTAGTACCATGCATGCCTCAGGTGGGAATTATACTGATGTTTGTGCCAAACGAAAGCATTTGGTTTCGTGAGCGAAAGTATCTTGTAAGTTGTATCTTGTAAGTACACCTTATTAGCCTTCCAGGAAATGCAATTTGGGTCCTTGTGAGGAAATACAGACGGTACGAGTAAAAAATATTTCTGTGAGAATCTATATGGTTTTCATCCTTACAAAGTGTGGCTAGATAACGAAATCTCATATGGTACGCTATCCTGGCATTTGTTTTGTGCTGATGTGCATGCTCTTCCAGGTCTGGCAGGCGACAGCAAGGGCAGCTACACGGTGCGTGGCAGCAACGTGTGGTGCTCTCACTTGCTGCCCGTGCTTGACCTCACCCTGGACGAAATTAAGCTGCAGAACAAGGTTGGTTGCATCGTATGTTTATCAATCACTCAACTCCACTAGAGCTGGCACAAGAAGTTACATCTATCCCTTGCTGCCTTTCTTCCTCCACGCCTGCAGAAGCTCTCCTGCTCCAAGCCCATCCCAGTTGGGTTCAAGCTGACCGTCGTATCGCCTCAACTTCTTCCCAGCTGCTCGCTCATTTACACCACCCACCTTGTGAGTGCACCAAGCCAGCAGGGCATCTGGCATCTCACCCTTTTACTGCTTCACCGCATTGTACTGCAACTGTGTGTTCATAGACTGTGACACTAAGTGCTTTCTTGACTGTAACATCTTGTAACTTGATCGAAACAACTGAATTTGCGTACAGGGCGACAGCTGTGCATCGATTGCTGCGCTGTTCGGTTTGAGCGAGGGGTGCCCCGTGGAGGGCGAGGCATGTGAGGAGGCGTTGGTGGGGCTCAACCCCGGGCTGGACTGCACAGAACTCACGGGCAGGCATGCTGTGTATGTGGAGCGGGAGGAGAGCAAAGCAGGGATGGTGGCAGTGTGTGACCAGCAGTATGAAATGGGGGGAGGTGATGGCTGTGATGCTGCAAGAATGGCCGTGAATCCGCCTTTGAGCCCTCTCGAGTTCTATCGCCTCAACCCAGGCATCAACTGCAACAACCGCTTGCCGACTGCCACGTACGGCTTCTCACAGCGCAAGGTGGGCCATTTGTATCCCTAGTTGCACGTGATGCAGCTTCAGTTTGCAGACGCTGTGATTCTTTTTCATCGTTATAAGCCTTCGCCCCTGAAATCCTTTTCTGCAGGTGTGCATTCACAGCAGCATCAGGTTCAGAATTGGCACATGCCCAGGGGGCTCCTACAACATTGCAGCCGGAGACACTTGTGACAAGATTGATGTGCTGGGCTTTTCTAGCATCAAGGGCTGCTACAAGAAGATGAACGGATTTGAATGCTTAGAGAAGATGGTTGTTGGGACAACTATCTGTACTCCAAATGTTTCGAGTGCTCGTGTGGGCATATGCTCAGCAGGGCTGTAAGTAAAGATGTGAAATCTATTGAACCTTCATATAGTAAATGTACAATGGCCCTGTTGTGCTGCCGCATTAGTTTTGCCCCAAGAACCGCATAGCACTTCAACGGGTGCAGAATGAAGACCATCAAACATTTTGAAGACACGTAAGTCATTTATTGTACAAAATGTTTGCGATATGGGTTGTATCTGAATGCATTCCTGTACGGAATAGAAGCAGACATGGCCGAGTACGAAGGCGAGAAGTCAGGCGATCCGAAGCGACCAAAACAGAAAGAAACATTTGAACCAGAATTGGCGGGAACAGGTTTGAAACGGCTTCCCACGCCGCACGGTTGAATTCTGCTGTAACAAAAAAATATATCCCTCATAGCACATGGCTAGTTAGGACTTTTGCAATTCCTTTGTACTTCTATATAAACCAATGTATGCATCTGCTATAATCACTTCAGTCAAATCTGAGGTCACTAGTTTCGCGACAATATCTCTTCGATCAACACTGAGCCGATCCTTGACTAAATCCCCCGCGGGACTGAACATGGTATGAGAGCTACTCAAAGATTCTTCGCACATCTACATCTGAGAATCTGCACGACCTGAAAGTGGTGAGTGGCACACGCTCGCTTGTCAGAATGGCCGGAGGATCTAAAGGCCAAACAAATCTGACGGCTGAAGCTCAGCCCAACCCTGCAGCAACATAAGATGCAACAACTACGATCAGCTCTGCCGCCCTCGAACACCTACTTCAACAACTATCAACCTTGGAGCAAGGACTCCAAACATTGCGGAATGGAGACGCAAGAACCTCCTCCCAACCTACGCAACCCGCTCAACCGGTCACGACAGACCGTGGAACCACCCAGCACACCTTCGTCGTTGAAACAAATAACTCAATACCGACAGCCCCCCATCCAACTGATGAAGCCATCAATTCTGCGCAGACACTTCCTGAACATCTTCAAAAGCAAGACAGGTACCGTATTTATAAGATGTCAATGGGAGTCGGCGGAGCCGACTTCGCAGCTGGGTATGCGGGGAGCGCAGCCGACCAGCTGCAGTGGCCGAGGCCGATTTAGGGACAAGGCCACTGCTACGCTGCCGACAACGGGGAGCTGGCGGCCAACTTAACCTGGTGGTCGACGAAGGGAGGGGCGCCGACTTTGGGAGGCGCCAACTTCGACCTGGGAGAGGGCGCCGAGCAGCAAGGCGCCGAGCTGGAGGGCGCTGGAGGGCGCCGAGCAGGAGGGCGCCGAGCAGTTGGGCGCCGAGCTGGGAGGCGTCGACCTGGCGCCGACTTTGGGGATGCCGGCTTGGTGTAACCGGCGACCGACCAGTCTGGTTGACCAGGCGTGGTTGCCCGGTCGACCGAGTTACCCGGCCGACGTGTTTCTACGAGGGTGTGCGATGGTCGCCGGGGTGGTTCTTATGAAGCCAATCTCGGAAGTGGTACCCCAAGGTCGACGTGGTTGGTGGACGCAGTCGCTGGCATATTCTCGACCTGGTGTCTGCGCTGTGCGCGTGAAGGGGTGTGGCACGCCAACCAGCCGTGCGCACCTACAAAGCGGGTGCACCACTGTTATGTGGGTGCAACGCTGTGCAGCCGCCTTGCTGCAGCGTTGGCACACCGTGGACTTGCAACGTTGGCAAGCCGCTTCTCTGCAGCGCTGGAGCGGTGCGAGCTTTGCAACGCTGGCACGCAGTCGACCGTGCTGCGCTGGAGGCCGACTTGCATGCTTCTCTCTTGGCAATGTTGTTGCTATCATTTTTCTCAACTATCATTGTTGTGAACTTTTGCTAGTGGAACTCTTGCCAATTCTCCCCGTCAATGTCC